TGAGCAGCAGACCTGCTCTGTGCGTGCTCTGCCGACAAACACGTGCATATAACGGGACTCTGCATATACATATTGACGCTCGTGTCGATTATCGTGCCATCTCTTTCTCACACATGCGCTGGCATATTGATGCATACAGAAAATGAGATCAATATGAGCATATATTTTCGACTATAACTTGGGTCTTTCTTATCCGATCTTGATGAAATTTGGACAGTTGATCAATAATATGCATATGCATATTATGTGTTAATTAGAAGATTCTGCCTTTAAAATTGTAGCATTTATTGCTATCGGAAACTGTAATGTATCGATAATAGAGAAACAGAGACAGCTATCGATAAAATAAAGCAAACTTGAATTGCGCCTGGTATAAGAGAGCCTATATTCCAAATTTGAAGTATCTAGCTCTTATAGTCTCCGAGATCTGCGGGTTCATATAGACGAACAAACGGAGGGACGGACGGACATGGCTATATCGGCTCGGCTATTGACCTTGATCAAGAATATATATACTTTATGGGGTCGGAGATGCTTCCTTCTGCCTGTTACATCAATTTGCACAAAACCATTATACCCTTTTTACCCAATTTGAATGGGTTTCAGGGTATAAAAAGTATCATCACCAAACGCCATCATTTCCTTTGAGTTTTTATTTGCCACTCGCCCCTACCTCATTCACGCAAATATTCTGCCACATGTTGCTTGCTCAAGCTTTTTTTTTTTGTTGTTTTGTTTTTTGTCCCGTTTGGTAATCGATTTTTGGCAAGCGGCAGCCGCATTAACCTAAAAAAAAATACGAACACACTGGTTGCGAGGCATGTATCTGCCACATGGCGTGCATCCATTACGTATCTTTGTGTGTCTATCAGTTGCTGCTTATGTCTGCTTATGACGAGTCCGAGTCCTGGCGCTTAATCTGGCAGCGAAACACTTGCAGCTAACTTGCGGCTGATTGAACAGCCAAACAGATGGCTTAAACATCAACTGCTTTGGGACCAAGTTGTTTGAGTACTTAATAATGAAATATATTCGTGTTTGTGAAATGAAATTAATTCATTGCCAAATATTTTAAGCCATTCAAATTCATTTTGAGACCATAAATATCACAACTGATTTAATCGTAGTTGAGATTTAACATGAAAGACCAATCAGTACACAAATAATATCCTCTTCGGCTACGAGGCCATCCATGCACCGAAACAAATATAAAATAAATAGAGTTCTTAAGAAAATAAGTAAAAATAGTTATTTATTTAATATATCACAGATCCCAGTCAAGCATCCTTGCGTGTCTACCACATAAAATCAATAATAAATTTGCCTTATTGAGCCAGCCAGCGTTCAAATTAAATTTCTTATCAACAATTTGCTGTCCGCAGGCGCTGTAAATATTTTATAGTAAATTGAAGAGCTTGCGAATTTAAACAGGTATTAGAATAAAATCACCTGCTCAGAGAGAGAGAGAGAGAGAGAGAGAGAGAGAGAGAGAGAGAGACTAAAACACTTCTGCATGCATTTTGTGTCCATAAATCAAATGGGTCTTAAACTATGCGCGAGTGATCCACTTGGCGGGTGAGCACCACCCACCCACTCATATATCTATATATCCACCCCTACCAGCAGCATCGATGTGATGTGAGATGCCATAAAACACAAAAGCAGCAACCACAAATATTTTCAGAGAACGCGATGCGACAAGACGCAACGCGACGCGACGCGACGCATAAAACTTGTTGAATTATTTTGCGTTGAAGGCAGTGGCAGGCTCTAAATTTTGGGAGCGCTGCTTGTAGATGAAAACGGAATTTTTATTATTATTGCAAATTAAAAAAGTTTACACTGGCTTAACTATGACAACATTGAGGGCTCTGCCCATCAACTATGTAAAAGCTAAGTTTTTGCTGTTTTTTTTTTTTGTTTGTTTTTGGGCACGGCCTGAGTAAAAGCATGAAATGGGAATGTTAAATGGAATGTGACAGGCGCGCTCAAATTTTATTAACAAAAGTATTTTGAACAGAATGCCGCAAGCGCAGCAAAATACCAAAGCTAAAATCGGCAGACTTTACCTGCACAAATTAAATTCCATTTGCACAGGTGAACGAATCCACGTGATTATGAGTATTAGAAGCAATCATGTTTAATGTATATTCCAACAAAAAAGAAAAAACAAACAAAAAAAAAGGAAGGAACAGAGCAGAAAACCTTTGGACATTTGGTTGCTTAATGTATTCGATACTTAACAGCGCTTAGCATTCAAAAGTGAAATTTATTTGTGCTGGCTCAGTGAAAAATAAAAATTGACTTGTTCCGAATGTCGAAGAGGTCACCAATGGGTCATATGCCAAATGCCATAACTGTGCGGCATTTAAAGAAGCGAAAAGGAAAAGGAAAAAACGGCAAAACGGCAAAATGGCAAACTGGCAAAATAAAATAGGAAGGCGAAAAGGAAACTCGCATTTTCCACTTGCTCAGCAGATAGCCACAGCAACAATAGCAACAACCAATGGCAAGACATTATTCACTTTGCCTGCCTTCCACCATATTTGCTATTATTGATAGACTGACTTGAGGAATTGATTAAAAAGAAAAAAAGAAAAAAAGAAGCGTTTGGAGATGATGCTGGAACTGGAGATGACTGGAGAGTCGCTCAATGAATAACTGACGATGTCAGGCTTAAGCACAAATGAAGCACAATACACGGTACAAATTACACTAACACACAAACACACACATACACACACTCGCACACACATACACAAAGTATTACATATGGGGGCTTGTGTCGTGCTTTGATCTATGCAGGCAAGGACATCAGCTAACAATTTGATGCTTTTATCCGGCCCTGAATGCCGCCTGATCTGGCTTGGGCTTGTGCAGACAAAACTGAGCCATGAGCTTCATTGAGCTTGATTGTTGTTGTTATTGTTGTTGTTTTTTGTTACTGCTTTTTGAACATTTTCATTTTTGTTTGTTTTTTTTTGTTGTCCCATTTTGGCTCGTCTGTTGTGCTTGTTTATGGTGACAGCGTTGTGTCTCGTTCCTATCGGGTGTCATATTATGGAAATTCAAATCCAAACCGATTAGAGGCAACATGTGGAAGACTGAATTTGCCCTTGCCTTTGCCATTGCCTTTCCCGTTGGTTTTACCAATTTCTCCCTATTCCCCTCTCTCTCTCTCTCATCCTATCATCCTCTCTTTCTATTTCGCTCGCATTATTCGCTGTGCATTAGAATTAGACCATTCAACCTTGATATTCTCCTCCTGTTCTGTGACTAACAGCTTACAGGGCTGCTGTACTACACTAAACAAAAAAAAAAAATAAGAATTTTACTTTATAAATCTTATGGTAAAAAATAAGCCATTTATTTCTACTTCAACAAATTTACATAATTTTTAAGTTAATACAATAAATAAATCGTTGCATAATTCACATTGTAAACTGGAAAACTAACTTTGATTTCTGCTTTTTATGAAAATCATTTCTATATTTGTACATTAAAAACTTTGAAGAACAAAAAACCAGCAATAAATTCAAAGTTTTTGTCTGAGTGTAGCTGCGTGCATGTGTAGAAAATGGTAGAAAACATTCGACTGGGCAAATGAGCAAATCAGCTTGTTGCTTCGCATCAACACAAATGAAAATGGCAGCAGCACGTTCGTGCCACATTATTTGTGGGACTCTGTGTGGCATCGGCATCGGCATCGGCATCGGCTGGTCTATCAACTAGGGGACATGTTGCCGGCAAGCATTTGCTATGTTAAGAGGCATTACATGACATTTAAATTGAATTGGTTGCCAGCTGCTCACCTTGAGAGCAATATCAAGCATGTGGTCTCTCTTTATATTCAGCCATTTGCTTTGAATCTCATTTGCTTTTTAGTGGTATGCCGCAAACGGATGCACAACATAATTAAATATCAGGAACACTTTGTTGACTACATTACTCAATAAATACCCTTTTGCAATTGCAATTGGCTGCAGGCCAATGTTGATTTGATTCTGTCAGTTAATCGAGTGATATTTCTCGTGTCCTGTCCAGTCCTGTCCTGTCCTGTCCTGCCCTGTCCAATCAGGTAATGAAATGCAATGCAACTGGTTGAACAGCAGTTGAGTAAATAACGTTGAAGGAGACAACTCTAATAAACTGTTATTATTATTGATGTGTATTTGCTTTCCTGATTTCCCATTGCGTCGCATTCCCCCTGAATTGTGTTTGCTTGATTTTTTCCATCTGTGAAAGCATTTCCCATGAGCTCTCGTCCTTGCCACATAAAAGATAAGATGTCATCTGAAGTAAGCTGCTGCAATTTGAAGACTGCTCAAGTGGAATTCGAATGAATTCGACTGGTCTGCTCAGCGCTTTGTTGCCGAGACAAATAGTATTAAATATCTAGAAAGTACTTCACTGTCCTTTCACTTTGTACAACTCGTTCACCGGAATGCTGTCTTTTGATTAAATTATGGACTGCACTCAGCAAAAGGTCGAAGAATTAAGAAAATTGCTTTCGAAGTGAAATTGCACTGCGAGCAAGAAATGCTTTTTGTTAACTTCGAAATCCGAATTCAAAAGAAACAAACAAAGAAAATGCTCGGTCTTATTTCAACTTCAGTTCATATTTATCTTTCTCAATGTGAGCAGCAAATGTTTAATTAAAGCTTCATTAAAATTTAATATGAAACTTTTTTACTAATACTTACTTGATGTTTATGAACAACTTTGCTGACCATATTTAACTATCAAATCTCTTTCAATACATTTAAGCCTCCATTAAGCGCAAATTGTAAGCGCATCAGAGCATATGTGTCTGTGTGTGTGTGTGTGTGTGTGTGTGTGTGGGCATGGTTAGTGGTCAGTTTGTGGTTGTGCGGAGCTTTACAGCAAATCAATGATCCGCCCCGTGGGACGTGAAATTTTATTACCGCAAAATGATTTCATGTGCCAAATATTTGGTAAAATTGGCACTGACTGTCCTTAATGCTCGGACGATGTCCCCAATGGTTTGCTTTGGCTTGGTTAATGGCCTGCCTTTTACGATGCTGGGCGTGGTCGGGGGGCGTATGTGTATGCTGGTCATGCGCTAAGTCCGCTTTAAGTGCACTTTGCCTTTAATCTGACATTATTGTTAACTTACTTATCGATGGTGCGATTATAACGACGACGACGACGATGACCAATAACTGATGTTTGTTTTGTTCATTATTTTGCAGGCATTTGGTACAACAGTGATCGAGACCACCGCGATTGGGTACGCGTTGCCGGGCGATAGTACCCATTGTACCCTGTCAAAGGGTTAAGACCATCATCACTGCGCAAATCGTCCTTCTCCAGCAACAGCAGCATCAACAACGCTTGTCCCCCGCCGCCGCCCACGCCGCATCAAATCCAATCGACAGCCGGCAGCAGTAGCAGCACCAGCAGCCAGCTTCAGAAACATCATCAACAGCATTCGCATCCGCATCCGCATCCGCATCAACAGCATCAACAGCATCAGCACAGGCGTAGCAGCAACTCAAGCCACATAGGCAACAGCAGCTTGGCAACCAAGCCTGCTATTAATTTGCTTGGCAATCAGCTGCAGGTCAACTATTTTGAGTTCCCGCCCACCACTCGCAGTGTTAGCTCGCTGTTGGCCAGTCGGTATACCGGCAACGCCACCACCAACGCCACCGCCACCGCCTCCACACCGTCGCTTAATTGCACTCCGTGCAGTGGCGGTAACTGCAATAGTCCCACAGCCACAGCAGCAGCAAATTCAAGTTACAGTTCTGCGGTTGCGAAAGCGGCCGCTTCGACAGCTTGTGCACTTCTTGCCACGTGCCACGTGGCCAGCAACACACATAACACAACCTCAACCTCACACCGCTACCCACAGCAACAGCAAAAGGAACAGGAACAGGAACAGGCACATCATCAAACTTCAGACAGAGACAGAGATAGAGACAGAGATAGAGAGAGAGACAGCATGGGTAGACGTGAGATTAAACGTTCAAATACGAGTGGCTCCACTTCACGTTCCTATGACAGCGGCAGTGGTAAGTAATACTAACACTAAAAATATCATTTAAAAACTTCGACCACAAAGCATTTATTTTGGTTGTATGTAAAAATTGAAAATGGGCCTGTTAATTGGTTTGGGTGAACAACAGTGAAAGTATCGATTTTAGAATGGTTTATATATTTTAATAATCATACTACTCATAATCTAAATCGACTGGTTACTGGGTACTTTTCGTACTGAGCTTTGACCAATACAACATATAACTAATAATATTTGCCAGATGATTTTCCTTTTCATCAAATTTCCATTTGGATAGGAAATAACGCAGTTGACACGACATAAAGTAAAATGTTTTATTTTTATTTCAAAAAACTTCCGATTTTTTCTTTAGACATAAATAATGAATAAGCTTTTAATCTTAAAAACTCGCATGACAGACTTAAATCTGTTATATTTTTTATTTTTATTATTTTGAGCATTGACGTTACCACGTAGGATGTGTGTGGTATTAAAAACGTATTCTTTTCAATATGTATTTAAATCTATAAATTATGAAATGGATGTGAAAAAAATGTTTTCACAAAACATAAAAAGGTTCCGCATTCCGGTTTTGTAAACGTTCAAAAGACTCGTTTTGTGTTGTCAGTTAAGTAACAGCATTTTGTTGAAAGGACACAAACACAAATCAATTAAGCCTGGCAGAATGGTGGGCGATGTAGGCGTGGCATTACAGTAACCACAAAGTAATCGCCTTACGGACTTGTGCGTAGCTTGGTAAATAGCATTGCAAGTGACATTGTTCTGGCAAATTAAATCAACTGAGATTTGTTGGCAAACTGTCGCCGACTGTCTAAGGACTTATGTGCGGCTTACAAAACTCCTTGCCATCCAAGAGAATGCTAGATGTCAGCGAGATAAATACGAAAAAGATTGACAAACAGACACACACTGAAACCAAACGCACAATGTTTATCATCATTTACTGATAAGTAGATAATAGAAAATACATCAAGTTACTTGCAGTTTTTGCCGGTGGACTGAACTTTATTTATTATCATATTATATTGTCTCAATGATCCCACAACACAAGTATTCATATAAATGCTAAGCTAAGATGGTATATGTGCTATAAACAAACATGCAAAGCATGCACCTGTATGCAGTATATTAGTAAGAAGCACACAGAGAGAAAAGTTACCAACTAAAATGATGTTGAAATTGGGTTTTCGCAATTCGACTTGAAAAAATCGTTTACAAATAGTTTTAAAATACTTAATAATGTCGTATTATTTGAAATATACAAATAAATAAATCCTAAACCCAACTACCATTATTGGTTTAATCTTTAATAATTCTAAAATGCTTATTCAAAGATGAAATCGTACTTATTTCAGGCGTCTTTTGCTATTCACAAATACGTAATTACTAAAATACTTGATGATTCGGACTACTGAAATTGTACTTAAAACCACAACAAATTGCGGGACGAAAGTTATTGTATTCTAAATATATTATGAAGATTTTTTCTCTCTGTGTAGCTTATAAGTATAAATGGGTAAAGATAGTATATATCGAGCATTGTGGAGCAAACGGCAAAGCAGACTAGACTCCGGTTTTTCTATACAATTGCGGTGTTTAATAAAATAGTATTAGGCCAAATCAAATAAAATAAATCGGTTTTTGCAGCAGATACTTTGAGTGTGCACTATCCAAGTACAACACGGCTTAATTATAAGTATGGTTAAGAAAAGGGGAGACCAAATAGGTTTACGTCACGCTGAGGTGGTCAAGTGGCAAGCATGAGATTACTAGGAGCAAGATGAGATTATTTCCGAGATGTTCAAATCGCAGTACTGACGACTGAAACAGTCATACAAAGCACTCAGATCAGCGAGGTCGCAGCACAAATTCGAGGCACGATGGCAGGCACTGCCTGAATCATGGACGGGATCCGTGGGATACATCACGGTATCTATAAATAGTCATAAACGATTGAGTTACTCTCACTACGTCAGTGGCAGAGTGCAAGTGACTCACCTTGCCGTGGCACCGGCCGCAACGGATTGTTCCGACCGGGTGACTGTCGTTGCGGCTCCGCGGGTGTAAAGTCAAAATGCACTGCAATTAAGAGGGACCAAAATGTTAACATTCCTATGAGCGCATGCGTGTAAGAATATATGTGAGTGTGTGTTAGTACTGAGTGTGTGAGTGCTATGTCTATTTATTCAATTAATTGAAACTTCACTTATTTACACTCCACTGAACAAATGTGGCTTGGTCGACCGACCATGCACTTATTCTTAATAACAATTGTAAGCTATAAATTGATAACATTGTTGCGTATTTACTTTAATTAAGATCCACACAATTGAAGCTCCTCTATCTCTTTCTCTCTCAGTGTGTGGAATTTTGCGTACTGCGAATTTCGCGTGAGTATTTAAACATTTAACAAGAAGACAGAGGGTCGATTTTAATTGTTGCAGCTTGTGACCTGTCAGTGGAGTGGCAAAGTATTCAATGATGTAGTGGCAGATAGTGAATTGAAGAGAAATGTTTATGTGGTTAATTAAAGATAAGTGCTTATGTTGCTATAAACAGGACTATAATTGAGCGGAGCATGTGCACTTGTCCATTGCTTATTGCTTTTAAACGGCGACCAGTTAGTAAAAAGCAATTAAGTTCAGAGTTGAACATGTTTATTGGCAGCAGTAGAAAATGAGATAACAAATTACCAGACTAGTGAATGCTCATACATATCACATTATGTATATATATACATATATTTATATATTTATTTATTTTTCATTTGAGCAAAAGCCGTAATGTTTTTAGTGTTGATCAAGAATACTGTTTATTCAGATGCTTGAACCATGTATTCTAAATAAATAAAGATTATTTTCCTGTGTTGCTTTTATATCTATATATATAGATAGATATAAATACTTTTGAAAAACCACCCAACGAAATGCTACTAAATCTAAGGCAGGATTCAGTCCCGTGAAAGCTGTTAACTGGTTAGAGAGGCGATCGCCTTATCGCGTATATTGTCCGCACAAGGATTGACGTCCCAGAAGGCGCCGTGGCAACCGAATGACTCAAAGCAATTGTATCGTATCTTATTGCTGTTCTGCGAGCAACAGTTCACAATTGCCCAAACGCAGGTGGACACCTTGGCTGCGGTTGGATGGGGCGGTCGGGGTGTGGTCGACGGTGGTGCGTTGGTCACCATGGGTCGCGTTGGTCTTTGTCGGCGGGTGGGGCCCTGGCCTGGCCAGGCATTTGCTGGCCGGTTGGTTGTGCGTGCTGTGACGTAACAAGAACGATTGAATGAATGTTAAAAAGATAGATGCATGAGATAGAGAAAGCCACAAAAGCATCAAACCACAGCAAAATAGAAAAAAATAAAAGCCAGAATAATGTTATATACAATTTTTGATGATATGATATATCCATATGAACTGATAACTTGCTATGTAGCTGTTGCGAATGCCTTGATACTTACGTCCTTGTCGATCTGAACTTTCTTGAGTGGGTGACTGCCAGCTGGGAGGGGGTGACTGCCAGCCACCACCAGAGGCACCACCAGAGCCACCACCAGAGCCACCACCAGAGGCACCACCAGAGGCACCACCAAAGGCACCACCAGAGGCACCACCAGAGGCACCACCAGAGGCACCACCAAATCCACTTCCAAAGCCACCATCACTTATCGGTTGTCTCCTATCTGGCCGAGGCTGCTTGAATTTTGAGAAGTCGGCATCATTCGGATTCGAATTGTGAAACAGGTCATTGTCGTCAAAATCGCCACGCGTTCCGAAAGAGATACCTGTTGGGGTATTTGGTTTTCGGGCTTGCCAATAGCTCAGTTTTCCATTATACTTTGGACGGTTTCCACGAACCGTATAACTGTAATAACAATTATTTATTCTAAATCAATCCAGATAATCTAAATCCATTTATAAATTATTCACTGAATCGTTTTACATTTTTTTGCAAAGAAATTCAACACGAAACTCATTTCTAATTAAGAACTGGATTTGGTTTGTTTAAGTGTACTTACCGCTGATAGTGTGGCCTTGGCTCAACGGGTGCATTGTTTAGCAGTGCGCGTTGTTGGCCCAAATAGTGACGATAGTAGGGATTGTCGGCGTGACGACGATGGCGACTGTGATATTTTTTGGGATACTTTTGAGGCAAATCCTCCTTCGAAGGCTGCACAACTTGGGCAACCTCAAAGTTGTCGGCGGCAGAGTCATCATCGTCCATTACTAATGGTGTCTCCGGGAGCACATCAAAGACAATCTTCTCCGTTGGCTCCTCAATCCTCAATTGCTTCGCAGCGGATTTCAAACGATGATGCCGAATACGCTGGTCGCCTCTGAACAGTTTTGGATGGAAAGTTTTGGTCTCGTTCTTACTGGGATCTGTGTACAAGTGAATACGAAATCAATATTCAATAAATCGATGTGTAATGCAAATAACCTTACCATAATCTTCGTTGACAAAGTCCTCCTTGTACATGACCACCGGGTGATCCTCGTGCATAACACCGTCCACAACTCTTACATGATGGAACTGCAGCGATGCAGAGATGTTAAAATTGTAACTGTATCAAGAACTGTGCCCGGCTACTTACCTCAACATTGTCCGCATCCGGTGGCAGAGATGCAATGTCTCCTTCATTTTCTGTGGAGGGTCGACTGGCTGCTTGGGCCACAAAGAGCAGCAGAGTCAGAGTCAGGACCGGAAGTGCAGAACCGGCTATTTTTTGCCTCTTTTGTTTCATATCCTTTGGTCTTTTGGGGTGTTTGCTGTGGTGTGGCTTGGAGTGGTTACTACAATTGACAGAGAGCACAGATTCATCATTGGTTAGTTGAAGGAGCACAGTGCCAAGTTTTATTGTACGAACTCAATCTTAATTAGTTGCGCCCGACCCATTCGTAGTAGCAAACTTTTGTGGCTGTAAATTTTGTTGTGGTTTTACTTTTCGGAGTTTGGCAACGCCTCGAGTTTGCTTTAAATTAGACATCAACTTTTAGTGCAATTTTTCTTAGCTTTGTTTAGCTGCATGTTTTGCCTTGCGGTAAACTTTTCGTTTACTTTTCTTTGACATCTGTTTGGTGTTTCTAGCATAGTAGCTTGAAATTATTACGGCACTTTACCATATAACCAAAGTGGCCAGACTCGTTTAGACTTTTTCACGCAAACTTTGCTTGGTAGTCCCGAAGACGAAGAAGAAGCCCAAACACAATAGTCAAAACCTCAAAAACTTACAACAATGTTTGTCTAACTTCAAGTTTTCACTAACTCACTTTGAAATTGTATGACTTCTTTAAAATTTCGAATTTAAATTTTTCAATTATTATTTCTTATATATGATGTTGATGTGTTATTATGTCGATGCGCTTCGGAGATCGAATCGATACTGAGCTCATGGTAGGCGAAAACGCTTCAATTTAAAGAAAAACGGGCAGCTGAATATGTTCGTCATAAGCACGTCATATATATATGTATATATATACTATATATACCCTGGAACAATTGAACATTTGTATTTATTTAGAATTACGAATTTCCGACGATCTGCTCTATTTGTACTTATGTATGCAATTCTATATAATATTAATTTTAATTGGTGAATAATTTGCTTAAGCCCCATAACAGATCTAGGACACAATATTTTTCCTGTTAATTTCAATATATTGTGATCATTAAGGTGAGTAAGGTATAAGTGTCACTCTTTTTCACTGTCAAAAATGATCGATTCTCAGTGAAGATTCGAGTACTTTCACAAGCTGGCTGACAACACGTAAAGTTGACTCATATATACATACACAATAATGTTTTTTATCACCTGCACAAATATTGATAGCTTTGTTTACTGCATTAGTAATACAATGAGTATACCAAGGGGAAACGCTTTACCCTTATCTTTTGCCAAAGAGTTAATTAAAGTGATAACATGATCTACGTCATATGAGATCTGAGAATCGCTAAAAGCCGCAAGTCATATTTTCAGCAGAAAAATGAAAATACTTCTTCCCACTTGAGAAAACCATTTAAAAGTTCCATATGTTCTGCCCTGGTTTTTATCTGCTTTTTAATATATATACATATAAGATAATTCTATTAGAGTAATCTTAAGCAATCGATAGAAAAGAAGCTGGTTAACAGAATTAAATAAGGTAATTTATAGAAAAAGTTATTATATCCCATTTATCCATTTTTCAGGATATAAAAATATATTCTAATTTTCGCAAAGTTGGCAAAATATATGTTTTCATTTTTTTATTGGTTGTCCATTTACAATTTAGCATGTCTAACGGCAATTTTGTATCACATAAGTTAATAATGGAAACACTTTTCGATATGCAAAACATTAAACCCAATGAAGTGTGCCACAAAAGGGGGCAACTGCGGTTCTCATTTTTGCTGACTGTGAGAAAATAAATAAAATCAATAATTCGCTTTACGAACTGAGCAGGATTTATTTTCAGCAATTTATTTATTTCAGATATATTTTTTTTTTAAAAAAAGTGGAACAATTTGTGTATTATTTTTATAATTTTAATATTATTATTGAATTGTAATGCACAATAATATTTAGAATTAAATTTTGGCTTGAAAGTGCAAAGATATTTAATTTTGTCCTGTAAAACCTTATTGCATTTTAATTTATTGCATTTTTTATTTGTTGATATTTAGTTTGATGAATATTTTATCGAGATATAAATATACATATTTATTTGTTGAGAGGCTTTAATTTAAATTGAGTGAATTTTTTAATACCGATTTTCGAGAATTAGTAGACACGCACTTAATTTAGCTGAACTCATCAGTTTAAGTACGTAACACAAATAAATACAATAAATGTCGTACAAGGACTTGTCAGACTGGAGCACCCCATAAATATGATATTAATAGAACATAAGTCATACGTGAAGCATAATCAGGCTACTAAAATGTGGGCCATTCACCACTTAAGTAATTATTTATGGACTGAAGTGGGGGCAACACTCAATTGAGTGGTTAAGTGTTTAGCCATCCGATCAGCCACTTGCCTTGCGATCCGCTGACCAATGAACCCACCTGTCGACTGACCTACAGGCAAATTGTATTTCATAAGCGACCAAGAAACTTTTAACAAACTACCAGACGAACGCACACATACAGCTGCATTGCAGACAATATGGTTACACTAAAAAAAATATTTTCTATCTTTTTGAAATTACACTTAAAAGCTAAAAAATTTTGCGCAGCAACACGAAATCGCTATGAGTAATTCCCTAAATATTGATCATGATCTCATTTTTAATTGTGAAATGCTTTCGAAAATGTATACAAATACATGTTGTCTTGCAAGAATATTTAATCTAATCTGAAATTTTAATTAAAGGTGAATCGTAAGTTAAATATAAGAAAGTATGTTTTTGTCACTTTTTGATAACAAAAAAATACAAATTAAATTTCTAAATTCATAAAATTTTGTGAGAGTGCAGGGCCACACGTCCGTGCTTGGCTTGTTGCATGGAACTGTGTAGCAGGACAAGTGCAATTTGGCCAAATGAGCGTAATGTAACCATTTAGGTGGTAAACTGGTCACTTGCCACAAAATGACGCCAAGGGCCGAGCCAGTCAAGCGTGTCCTCGTGCCTGGCCAACTACTTCTTTGCTACCACCTGGCAGAGTGATGGCGATGGCGATGGCGATGGCGATGGCGATGACGATAATCACACTGTTTGCACAGTGACTTACACGAAGCGGACTCTGAACTCTGTGGCAGAGCTTATCTGAATGAATAGTTGACTGGCTCTATGAGCCAGGACATTGTCGTGGTCAGGACAGTGCTTGTAAATCGGGCGGCCTAAAGGTGACACGGTATTCGGTATTCGGCATTCGGTTTGGCAACGATTTTAATATTTTTCAGCTACGCAAACAGGCTGAGATGTCAATCAGAGTTAATTGAAAACATGGAATTTGTCTAGGAAAGCTCATCAATGTCAAATAAACAAAACACATTGCCAAAAGTGATTAAAAGTAAACAAATCCGTGTGTAAATAAAAAATATGCAGCGAGGTAAAAATATTTATATTTTCTTTTTTGGCAAGGCAATCACTTTTGATGACGTGCATAATGAAAACTAAAGCAGACTTAACTAAAAAACATTTAATTTAAAATGCTGATGCATAAGCTCATTTCTCACAAAAAATACAGCAAACAGTTTGTGCCAAAAGCACGTGACGTGAATTTAAATACCTTTGCCCACATTAAGTAGCTTACAATGCCCGACTACGGCAAAAGAAAAAGCAAGCGCCACAGCAACAGCAACAGCAGCAGCAACAGCAACGTTATCCTTGCCGCATTTGTTTGGTTCTATTCATGTGTCAAAGTGTCGTCCTGTCATATACCCAGAAACTCACATAATAGCTGTTGCAGCAGCAATGCAAATGCCATTTAAATTCCCTTTTAATAGCTCAGCGGCTCTCAGTGCAGTGTTTATGCTGCCACCTTCTGTTTCGGCATAATTAAGACTTTTTCTGCAGCCCAATCAATGCACACATCACAGTTTTGTTCGCTGTTGCATTGTAATTATGCGATGCCATTGTGCTGCCTAATGAGATTTGGTTCGTTCAATGATGCGTATACGTAGCACGATCGATGGCACCCATTTTTCCAAGAAACGCCATCAGCTACTGTCAGTTTTCTTTTTTCTTTCTTTTTTTGGCATAGGTTTTGTTTCTGCTTTTCATCTTTTGCTTTTGCGTTTATTTAATGCGCTGACACAGTGGCAGTCCAATACACTCCTCTTTGCTGGGATATGTGCTATTTGCAATGTGGTCCGCATAAGCAAATATTGAAAAATGAATGCCTTTTTTCTTTGGTTTTCATGGTTCCTTGGGTTTAAATTATGCACGCTGCCTTTTCGCTTATATTCTGTTCTTTGTTGTTGATCTGACTGGGAGCTTGGCCCACGGGCCAAAAACTGCCAACTTTTCTTATTATTGTTAAAAATGTTTTTTTGTTTCTTTTTTTATGTGTGCCACACACACACATATATATATATATTTATATATATACTTTGCATTACGTTCGTAAAATGGGGCAGAAGTGAAAAACAATACAAAAGCAAATTCTCATTCTTTGCTGGAGCAATGCACTGTACAGAACCATTGTACAGTTTGAGTCTGATCATTAAAAATATATGAGGCTAGTGAGTATTATATTAAAGAACCTGCTGCAACTTTGCAAATCAATCTGAGGGAAAACATGACTCATACAATGTTTATCGAACTGAAGTCTTTTAAATTTCAAATTGAATTCATTCTAGATTTTTCTCCACATTTTCAGTTTATGAATGAGTCAAACAATACTTAAGCAATGTTTAAATAGCGATTATATTACTCCTGACTGGCATAACTCTTGTTATCTCGACGCTGTCCAACATGGGATAAACTGTATACAACTGGGAGTAACACAGTTTAAGGCACCGACATGTGATTTTCACAGACCGCACACGAAATTACAATGTTGATGAGGCAGGCGGAGGGGGGCGGCACAACATTGAAGCATGGAGAGCAACAACTATGAGTAAATGCAAATGGGTGGCAAGGGGAGACTGTGGCAGCTGCTACAAGTGGCTGTCAAAGTTGCTCGGTTAGCAAGCATGCTCGTTGTGACAGGACTGGCGCTGGGCTGGTTGCCACAAATACCACTTACCCAGGATCTGCAGTTCTAATTGCTAAAGTTGGGCCAAAAAGGCCAAAAGCCGAAAGAGTCGGGCAACCAAATTATATGCACTCGGCGGCGGCAGCACAGCATGCAAATTCTCAAAATTGTGTGCCAAAAAGAAAAATAAAATGAAAAACATTGAGAGTTTAAGCACTGGGAATTTGGTTGGGAAGGCTCAGTCCTTGCGGCCAGTTTGAAGTGGCGCCACAAAATATTTATTAGTT